ACGTCAAGGCATTACTCCATAACAATGGCATTAAAATTTGATGTATATCCTGTATTGGAAAAGATGAGAATTAAAAACAAGAAATAATAAAATGAAAAGCAATGAAGAAGATAAATAATACAAAAATGAACTAAAAAAATAAAAACTTTAAAAGGAAATGATTCTATTAATTCTTTTAATTATTGTAAAAAATATAAATGCAGATTGGGATGATATCAATTGGACACAAATTGAAGTGAATGAAGACAAATCGATTGAATTACTATTAAATGAAAAGTCAAGTGATTATTGTACTAAAACAGAGGGAATAGGAAGATATTTAAATATTAGTACGAAATATAACAATATTAAAATTAGTATAAGTTATTCAGAATCATCATTTATTCATGTTTTTGAAGAAAGAGGAGACACTCATATTTGTTATGAACAAAAATATTCAGAAAAAGGAATTATTAAAGGAATAATTATTAATACTAAGAAAGGATATGGATATGTGAGAATAGGAACTGAACAAAGTAATAAAACAAAAGAAGAACGTATGAAAATTAATATAATGGAATATAGTTATTTTAATGAAATAGTATTTATAACGTTATTATATAGTATTGCACTTCTATTATTATTAATTGTTACATTTATTTTAATTGGATTTTATTTCTATTCTAATAGAAAATTTAAAAGAAATCAAGACTGTCAACAACTTGAAGAACAAACTGTTGTTTATCAACATTCTTCTTTAGAAAATTCAGAAGGAATAAATTCTACTATTTAATTTGTCATTTTAGATTGATTCATTTGGTTTATAAATTCATCAAATAATAATGGCCCTAAAAGAAATAAATAAAATGAAATGAATGTGAGAATAAATACAACAAACAATAAGTATTTGTTTCATAATATTCATGAAATTCTAATATATAAGAAGCTGCATTACATAAACATACCCATTGATCTTTATTCATTTTAAATCCTTTTATTTGAAGAAATTGTTCAAAATTATTAAATAATGGATATTTACTATAATAAATCATTAATAATTGATGAAGTATTTCTCCTGAAAGTATTCTTTTTTCATTAAATACATCAAATATCCATCTTTGGAATAGTGTAAATACTTTAATATCTTGTTCAATATATTCACTTAAATTAATAATAATATTTAATACATCTTGATTTGTTTGAATCGTATTTGAAAGAAGAATTTGTTTAATATTATTATTTGGTGAAAAAGGTGTATAATTTATTAAATAAATAAATGTTAATCCTTTTTTCTATTTAATAAATATTGAATATTAAAAGAATAAAATAAACAAACTGAAAGTATATTAAATCCATAAAATGAACAAAGTATATTAATATCTTCTTTTGTTAAACTTTCTTTATTTAAATATTTTAATAAAAATAAGTCTTTTTCTGGAAATTCTTTCTTAACAGTTGGAGATATAATCTAAAATATTTAAATAATGCCATTGTATTAAATCATTATTTACAAACAGTAAATTCATTTGGTTTTCGTTTAATTGGTTGGTATTTTTTAATGTTCATCTTCCATTCTTCAATAAATGTTTTCATCATTTCTTTTTTTAAGTTCATTTCATTCTTAGAAAAAACATAAAAATATAACAAAAATAATAATAATACTTTTTTTGGTTTTTTGTTTTTGGTAATAAAAAATAACAAATTTTAAAAACAATAAACAGAAGAATTATTTACACATCATTTGTACGTCATTAATGCAACGTCATCAAAACGTATTAAAATGAAGGAATGAATGAAGATTACCATTTAGAAAAGATGGGAAAAGATTACTATCAAATTTTAGGTGTTGATAAAAATTGTAGTGATGCTGAATTGAAGAAAGCTTATAAGAAATTAGCATTAAAATGGCATCCTGATAGAAATATTAATAATCAACAAGAAGCTAGTGAAAAATTTAAAGAAATTGCAGAAGCATATTCTGTACTTTCAGACCCTAAAAAGAAAGAAATATATGATAGATATGGAGAAGAAGGATTAAAGAATAGTATGGGTGGTGCAGGAGGATTCCCAGGAGGAGGATTTTCATTTGGAAGAGTTGATCCAATGGATATTTTTGAACAATTCTTTGGAGGAAGTTCATTTGGAGGAAAAAAAAGAGGAGGAGTGCCAAATGGATTTTCATTTAATTTTGGAGGAATGCCAGGAGGAATGCATTCATTTGGTATGGATGATGAT